GATATTTTATAAATTATTGTATATCAATACGTGCGGCCTCCGGAGATCCGCACGGCGTAATCGAAACTCTGTAGGTGTCATGTGAGGACATGGCCTGTCTAAGATGTCCCCCAAGTAGATACAAGGAATATCTAGGGTAGTGCCATTAAGTGTGAAAATCGATAGAAAGGACTCGTACCTGAGGATATAAGATCACGTATATATGATGTTGTTATGCCATCGTCATCAAAGCCTAGCAGAATTTAAATAGCAGAATAACCTAGATTTATGTGTAACCTGTAGAAATGGCATTTCAGTTTGATAGCAGGCAACCTTCACTGCTGCTGTGGTATATTATGAGTATTCCGTGTTTACGTGTATATTCGCTGTAAAAGATAATGCAACATTTCAGCACAAGCTAGACATTTACGGTTGATTTAGGGAGCTACAACGATATGTAGTGAAACACATCCTGATCAGGAGAAACGCTGACTATGGAAGACCCTTGCAAAGCCTTAACTGCATGCTATACGTCTATAGAGTGAGTAATTAATTTATCCATCAGTCGATCAGTCACTCATTTCATTACATGTATCTGAAACGGACAAGCCCTTAAGCGCAGAACAAAACTAAACATATTAAAACATGGAAATTTCCTCGCAAAAAACACGCTAATGTGCCATTTGGTTTAAGATTTAACGACATAAGATTTAACGACAGTTAGCGGATAGCACAATCAGCGACGGATTTCTATGTGGTCGCAGGTGTTTCGAAGGCATTTGCCGATGTCTTCTGATTCCATGGGTTAGCAGCATCAGAGGCAGATAAAAAATCTTTATTTTACACAGGTCTAATCTTTTAAAATTTATACAGGTCTGACGTTTTCTGACAGGTTCACCACCAGAAATTATCGCATATAGTAATGGCGACGTCAGTGCCATTTTGGTCGAAATGTCGAATCCATGTTAAATGAATCCATGACAATACAATTTACTTTTCGCCTTTCAGGCCGCTAACCATGAAGTCAAAGGACGTATCAGCTTCAAGTCATTTTAATAAGTCAAGAATTTAATAAATCAATTAAGATGTGATATACTAAAACATGATAATATAAAACTAAAAGTTTATAGATGCGACTGATTAAATGAACGAACTGCAGCGATCATACAGTGTATATATCGACCCAGAAAAAAAGGTGCATTCAGACCTGGCGATCAATAATGCACGATACATACCAATTTACGCATGTGACAAAAAACGATTCTTGAGACCCACTGACTGCCGCGAACGTTTACCAAACCTGTGCAGCTGCGACGACCGTTTTCACAACCTTGCCATAAATTACTCATCAGGAAGCGACCTGAAGTCAGGCACATGACATTAAACGTAAATACACCAAAACAACAAGCCAAGCATGTAAAATAAACCCGCGAATACGTTGTCTGCATGCGGCCGTATTAATTTCATTTATGACCGGAAGCGGACATGTATTTTGATTCCACGGATAGATGTAAGTACAGGATTAAAGAAATTAATCTTCCGCTTAACACGTTTCAATCTAACGACTCAACCCAACTGGCATAACAGGTTCTATTACTGTATCTGTTCCCTGATGATGACTGATTGTGTATGTAAAAATAAAGAATCCGTTTTTATCCTTTGTGCTGTGGCATCGTAAAAAGCATCCGAATCAAGTCACTTATACTAGTTAGAAAAACTTGTTCAACTAACACTTTCCAGAGGTGTTTGCGCTTTTGGCCTACAGCTTAAGGCACTCAACAAAACCATAACAGCAATTCTCCAGAATAAATGCACGAATTCAAAGAATTATTTCTGCTATACCGTTTCATCCAACCGGCCAGTATTTTACTGTTCATTTCCCATTTCGTAAAATTCTCTCAAACTTCGCAAAGCTTCACGTGCCTGCTGAAGAATTAGAGCTGTTTTCTGAAACTTAATATTTCTCCCTTGACCGGACCTTTCAGTCCGTATCTCTCTTCACGGAGTTGTGTTTAAATCTCTTCTTGTCGTGGTCTAATCATACAAATATCTAAATCTACATATCATAGAGA